CCCACACCACACCCACACCCCACACCCACACACCCCTAGCAGCATGTCACAGGAGCTGTAATCAATCCAGCAATTTTGAAGGATCAAATATTGCCGGACACAACATAAAATATTTTATCGGTATTTAATACAGAGAAATCTTCAACTTATGACATCATGCTGTCGGTGGCTATCTTGCCGAAGAAATCCTATCTGATCTGACAGGATTTTAGGATATATTTAGCCAACCTGGAAACTTCTTCTCTCTTTGACGCATGCCTTACACTACGAGTTAGCCATTCCTTGTTAGATTCACATCATAAGCTTCCCTAGGGTCGAGAAAAACGGCCAAGAAAAGTGAGTGCGAGATTATGATTTTACATGTCAATTTAAACTAGAAAACTTGCGAGAGCCGTGAGAGAATGACAAGTTCACATCTGAAATATAATTGAGTGACTTTACCTTCGCTATAGAGCTACTAGAATCGAGTCCCAATTAGAGGTATATAACATCGTTGAAGGTGATCATTATAAAATCATATATTTTAGCCTCAATTATACAACTCGACTGATAAGCATATCAATTTATGTTATGATATCTTTTTGTATGATATAGTAACATTAATCAACAAATTCATGCATATTTTCACCAACAACCTACTTTTTCGTGAGAAAAGAGAACACAAAAGAGGATTTTTCTGAAAAAAAGAGACTAAATGGAAGAATTTTAAAAGAAAAGAAGAAAAAGAGGTGGAGTGGGATGTCAGAACACAGGGAAATCTCACTTCATTCGTGCTCGTCCGATTTCGATAGGTTTCCAGCACGTCGCCCGGTAGTAGATCTGGTCGAAATTTTTCCTAGCAATCTCCAGAGTGATCCAATCGGGACTGGTTAAGAAATCAGCGATTTTCTAGAGAGAGTCGACCTGAATCTGGCGTAAGAAACATGCCGAAGTATTATGAAACCGCTCGGTTCCGTAGCTTTTCAGCGTCTTTTCGATCTATTTTTGACTGTTTCGGCGACCGAAACGATGGACCCGATATTGTATTATGAACAAAGTAGACAGGCATACATACATAGATTTATTCGAGATTTTTTGTTTCAAGATTTTCAATTCGAGATATCGAGACAGAGACATATTCATGATTACCTGTCTCTTTTCTTTATTTCACTTGTGAGATAATTATTTTCCTACTCATTTGATAGAGAAACGTCACAAGAGTTCGTAAACTAACAGTGACAGTATTGTCTCTACAAGAGAAAGCTGTCTGATACTCTTCTGTTTAACCTGATTTCAAAAATTTTCTGATTTTTCTCCGAATTTTTTGGAAGTCTTCTGATTCTTCGAAAAAAAAACTTCCTCATTTTTCTCCTGATTTTCTAGAAAAAAATCTACTGATCAACTCCTGAATTTTTACAAAAAACTCCTGATTTCTAAAATTTGGATTTGGCAACCCTGGTAGTAGACGAAGTCTTCTGCTCGAAAATTGTCAAATATTGATATAAAATATCTTATTTCTTAGGATTAGGCGTACTTATAACAAAAGTAAATCTTCAGTCATCGAATATCAAGATAAGCATGATGTAGTGAGTAAGAGTATTTAGAATTTCGTATTCATAAAATAAAATAATGCCGATGTAAAAGAAAAAGTTCTACTTCATAACGCAACAAAAATAGTTATTTTTAAAAAATCACCGAATTGAGACGGTTTGGCCATCTACAAGTAGGCAAAAAAATAAATATTGTATATATTCTTACAGATTCTGATAGGGAAAAAAAATTCATATCAAACCGACTTATTTGTGATGAATATAAACCGAATTTTAATAAGCTTTTGAGTCGAAAACTGTTTTTTTAAGCCTTTCATTGTAAGCGCCATATTTTTCTTACTATCGGAGAACTTGCGTAAAGTTGTGTGATATTTGGAATCAGCACACTTAAGGTTATAGAAATATAAGGACTTGAAACAGAACGACGAGAAAAAGTTTCTTTGGAATGCCTAAGAGGTCCAGCCTGAGTATTAGCGTTCCGTTCCTAGGAACGAGAACGCATCCTAAAATTACCTTTTCTAACTTTGTCTCACTATGGCCAAGATCATGAACATGTTTGTTTATCTTTTTTATATTAGAGTGTTTGGCGTTCCTCGTTCCTAGAAACGGAGCGCAAAAGTGACACTTCTAACCGCCAGGCATGAAAATTGTTAACGTCGATTTTAGGAGCATATAGTTGAAAAAGGTGTACAGGACAGCTCGCGCTTTCGATACACCAGAAATCCTGACGCTTATATAAGCGTTCATGAGCGTGAGTGATACACTTCTAGTGAAGATGAAAGAGTTAATGAAAATTTCAACAGCATATCTAGTGCTAGGTTTTTGATACATAAATAGGAAAGCTGTTATGTTTTAACTCAACTTTTACTATTCTTATCCTTTGAATAAATTTTTAATTCGTTTTCTGTATTTTATTTCCTTTCCAAAACTTAAAAAGATAAATTCATATTGAAACTATTAATTAGAGAAAGATAAAATTATTCGAGTATCTAATTTTTAGTAGAGGTATTCTTCATCCATTATACACAAACATTTACAAAATGTCTACGACAGCAAATCTTCAAACGATTTGCCTCTACGTTACAACTGATAATGTTGGTATTTCAATTACAAACATGGATATCGAAGATGGTATTCGTCATATAATTGATACAGATTTACCCTATATTTATTTTGGTAAACCTTACAGTAAGTTATTAAAAAATTTTATATATACATATATGGAATTTATCAAAATAAAACAATATTGAACAGATATTAACAATACACAACAAAGAAAAGTTTATTTAAAGTTCCTAAATGAACAAATATTCAATAAATTCACGAAGATTGGTGTAATTCAAGTTTGTCAGAAACAAATTCAGATGTCATCATTTATTCCACAAAATACTCCACCATCCAATCAAATGATTCATTTTTTATTAATTAGAATATCTAAAACACATAACGATAAGAAAACTTTCAAGGATCTTACTGACTTTGATATTAAAGAATATTTCGAAAGGTTCGGTCAAATAGTTAGCTGTCCATGGAGGACGAATTTGGAAGCAGTTCTTGAACTCCAATAGTAATATTTCTGAATTTCATATTTAATATTTTTAACCATATTCCATTGATTTCTTTTTTTTTCAGTTATACTATTGTGGATCATATTGTTCTACATAATGTTCTACATGAAATCAATGGAATTAAAATTGATGTTGAAGAAACCCAACCACTGCCAACAAGTAGGTTTTTGACAGATTTACATTTTTGTTACAAATAATAATCAATTTTCACGAAGATTTGAGAAACTTAAATTTGGATTATTTGATTCAGGGTTAAATGCATGAAATTATCTGCTGCAATTTGAGTCAAAATACTTTTTCCATTTTGCTCATATTTCTAATGAGCGTTGATAAGGATTGCTTTATGCACAACAACCACAGAAGAGTAAATGTCAAACAAATAATCTCACTAATCAGATTTGGTAAAACACTAAGCTTAACTTTCCTACTCGAACTGCTTTAAAAAGAGAATAATAATAATAATAAATAGTTGTTAAAAACGAAACTCTTCTTATTCAAATATCAAATTAGTCAAACGAAAATCTTTCCACTTATATTTATTTAAAACACTATGATTGGTATTACTAAAAATTCCTTTTCTATTCATGTAACTAACATACCTCTGATGTGAGCAGGTCCCGCGCGAGGATTCCAGGATTGGGGGGTGGAGGGGGGAGGGGTGTAAGGATCCTGAGGTGGCCAAGATTGGGAAAAGCAAATTTTTTTTCGCATCAAACCTAATATTAATCTTTCTCGTGCAACCTGAAATGCAACAATTTTTCGCGGAGCGAAAATTTTTTACAACCTTCTTAAAAAATTCGACTTTCTCTGGCAAATTTTCAAGAAGACAACCAGCGTCCAATGTAAGAAAATCCCTCAATACTTCTGCCACCGAAGGCGGCCACGCTGGCGACAATTGTTCTCGACTAGACTGTTTTGAAGGAAAAATTGACTAAACTTAGAAGTTTTTCTAAGATAACTGCAGTTACGCAACCGTTATTTTTCGCGAAGCGAAAACTTTTCTCACGTCAGACATGAAAAACTCTTCTTTTCCTTATTGTTTTCGAAAGCAAAAAGTATTGCTATAGCTCTTAGCAATTTTGATGCCGAAGGCGGTCACGCTAGCGACGGCTACTTGCAAATAAAGCTGTTCAGAAGGTAGGAAGCAGTAAAATATGCCATAAAAACGGAAAGATCATAGTTATTTTCAAGCCGAGTATGTCCATGCGGCTATTTCTTCGTGAAGCGAAAAATTTTAATATCTCAGAATTTTGTAGCAAAAACCATCGTTTAAACCGGCATTTCGAGTAAAAAATCAGCTGACTTCTTCAACTTGTTATAGAACTTCATGTTTTCTGCCGATATCTCAACGATAGTTTCCGATTATTCTAGAAAGGTCATATCTTGTCTCTCCTTTTCGCTCAGGACACCTCTGAGAGATGTTTGTGAAAATATCTTACAGAGATACTTTATAGATTCAAAAAAAATATTATCCATTTTGGTGGCTAATAATAAACAAGTAACGTTCATCGTCAAGCGATTCAATTAGCCCTAGACTGATAGAATACATGTACGGATGTAATAGCATAAAAAGCTACATTAAAAAAGTAATACGCAAAATTGATAATATGACCAGTATATCTTAGGCGAGCAGAAAACTTAATTCGGAGAATTCTCACTCTAAGTAAAGATAATGCATTTTACAAATTTAATTTTTTTTGTCGTTTTTGTTTTATTTTTTTTTGCTTTTATAAATATAAATAGCGCTCAATAAGATTAGACAAGAATACGATTATTTTTGTAATTATATTGGCGCTATTTGTACGTACAAAAATATGAATTATATTATTCATAAAATTTGAGTTTTATTAATCAATATTTTATGCTTAAATTCGCGCATTAATTCTAAACTATTAATAAATTAGATATTCATTAATACAACATTGCACAATCAATCCTACGATAATGAATAATTTAAACGATTTCTTTAAATCCATACTGCTCATTTGGTCTGACTCTCACTAATTAAATGCTTTTGTAAGCCGTTTTACACCACTACCCGAATTATAGTCATTTCATTGACATTTTACCGATGATTATTATGGGTTCATTTACATCAGTCTTTAGATGGTCATTTGTGCCATAGTTACTGGAATAGTTGTTTATACCATGGTTGCTATATGGTCACCTGTGCCATAGTTACATGCTCATTTGTACCATAGTTACCTAGTTAATTTTAGTAAAAAAATGGCCGTTTGTGCCAAAAAAATGGTCACTTGTGCCAAAAAAATGGTCGTTTGTGCCAAAAAATGGTCACCTGTGCCATAGTTACATGCTCATTTATACCATAGTTGCCTAGTTAATTTTAGTAAAAAAAATGGCCGTTTGTGCCAAAAAAATGGTCACATGTGCCAAAAAAATGGTCACATGTGCCAAAAAAATGGTCACATGTGCCAAAAAAATGGCCATTTTGACCGCGTTACCGACAGACAGACAGACAGACACAGGTGAATTTCGGTTTCTAGACCCTAGCCTTTCAGTCTAGGGAATAATTTTCAATTATTGGGGGTGTACATCCCCTAAACCCCCAGTTTCGCGGGTCCTGAATGTGAGACAAGTGAGCATTGTTGGAAGTGTTTAATATTCCTGTTGTTAATACTGTTACTAAAGTGTGCTATGTATCTGATAAATATTTAACATCTAAAGATCAAATTGATAGTGAAGGATATGTATGAAAAGAGTAATTAGAGATATCCATAGAACCTTAGTCACATCCACACCCACTCGTAACCTAGGTATACAAACACAAAACTTATAGAGTTGATCTATGATCAGAGGATCAGAAAACTTGTTGGTATTGTTTTGGTTGCGGTTCTTTATGGGAATTCCATCCTTACTCGCTTTCTTTCGCAGTGCAGTATTCTTAAATTACCAGTGCTTTAACTATTGTCAGCGTTGCCTAAGAGATTCGAGAAAGGAACCATCCACAATCAGGCATGAATGAATAAGAGAGAAAAATTTTCTTTGTCGGCCCATTGTTCCAATAATAATTTTCGATTTGATTTTGTTCTATTATACTAATAGCAATAATCTCGTTCTTATCTGATACAGTGAAAGGTTGTTCTATGGTATATCTAACATTTGTACTCTTTTAAAACCATTCAACAATAAACAAGTATTATGTAGAAATATGTAACAAATTTCTTATATAACCTTTTTTGATAAGAATATATCAACAGTCAACTTTTTTTATAGGCAAAACTATCAAAAAGAATGAACTCTTCGGATAAATTCAGAAAATTAACAAGGTTTTCATTATCATGTCCATTTTGAAAAAAGTGGTCTTTTATTGACAACTTTTTATCCATCTACTCATGTAAAAAATGCGACAAAAATCAACTTTAGGGACGTCAAAATTGATTAAAATCATACGATTTTTAATCAATAATTCAGCAGTAATAGTCATGGCAAAATCAGATTTTAATCGACTATTTCGATGATTATGATTATAATCGGTTTTTGAAAATATCCTAAATCGATTATAATCATAATAGTCGATTAAAATCTGATTCTGCCACGGTTATTACCGCTGAATAACTGATTAAAAATTGTATGATTTTAATCAATTTTTGAAATCATTTTTTTACATGAGTAGTAGAAAAAACATTTTTCAAGTTTTCGTAGATAGTCTTGTTCTTCAGCCTTTTCGTATTCGTCAATAGAAAACGAGCAACAACTAGATTGTCTTCGAAGGCAAATATCGAACTTCTTATATCACTTCTGACGAAGGGAATTTTTTCGATAAAGGCAATCATAATTCCTTTTGTTTTTCTTGTTCTTTACAATGATTCATAATCTTTCAGTTGATGACCGATGGATAGAGGAAAAAGCACCCATTGCTGGAGGTCATGGATATGGCAATGCCATGAATCAATTCTACTGGCCTCATGGTATTTTCGTGGATGATGGTCAAACAATGGTCATTGCTGATTGGTACAATAATCGTGTCATTGAATGGAAGATAGGTTATAGAAATGGACGAGTAGTAGCAGGCGGCCGGGGTGAAGGAAATCGGTTGGATCAATTGAATCGTCCAACTGATGTGCTGATCGATAAAGAGACTGACAGCCTCATTATTTGTGATTGGGGGAATCGACGAGTCGTACGATGGTCGCGCCATAGTGGGGCTACTCAAGGAGAAATTCTTCTCGACAACATCAAGTGTTATGGATTAGCTATGGATCATCAAAGACATCTTTATGTTTCTGATACTGACAAACATGAAATAAGACGATATCAAATGGGAGACAGAAATGGAACTGTCGTGGCTGGCGGTTATGGTCGAGGCCGTGGTCTCAATCAATTGAACTTTCCAACATTCCTCTTTGTCGATCATGAACAAGCTGTCTATGTGTCAGACTGCAAGAACCATCGTGTGATGAAATGGAATCAAACTGCCGCAGAAGGAATTATTGTTGCTGGTAGTCAAGGTGAAGGGTGGGCTCTGACTCAATTGTCAGGTCCCGAAGGACTCGTCGTTGACATGTCGGGCACTGTCTATGTTGCAGATCGAAATAATCATCGAGTGATGGCTTGGCCTAAAGGAGCCAAATATGGCTTGATCATTAGACTCGAAGAGAGACACGTGTACTATCCCATGGGTTTGTCCTTCGATCAGTATCATAATCTTTATGCCGTCAATTATGGGGATCATTGTATTGAACGCTTTCGTTTTAAATCTATTTAATAGGATGATTGACTTGTTGGTTGAATATGTGAGATAAGTAGGGTGGGTGTGTGGTGAATGTGGGTCAAGGGGAAAAAAGCGAGACTTCATCTACTTCAAAAAAAAATTGAAGTACAGTGAAGTACAACTTAAGTATGAGTGAAGTACGGTGAAGTACAAGTGAAGTAACCTGAAGGGTGTGGGTGTGGTTTGTGGGTGGGGGTGTGGTGTGTGGGTGTGGGTGGGTGTGAGGTGTGGGTGTGGGGTGTGGGTGTGGGTGTGGATATGGGTGTGGGTGTGGGTGGGTGTGGGTGTAAATATCTTATTCAAATATACTCACACCCACACCCACACCCAAGTTTTGTTTCCTCTACCAAAAAATAGAGATTTTTGTCCTCGTTCGCATAGTGAATAGTAGTAAGTTTATCAGATGCTTATAAGTGATACTACGGAATAAAAAGAGAAGTGTCCTTTAACACCCATGTAAAAAATTAGGGATAAAATCAGATTAAAATCGATTAAAAAATGATTAAAAATCGATTAAAATCATACACATTTTAATCGATTTTTAATCAGAAATAATCAAAAAATCAGAATTTCCTGCATAATTTCGAATAATTTTGATTAATTTCGATTATAATCGATTAAAATTTGATGAGAAAAATCGGTTTTGATTGATGCAAATCGATGAAAATCAGCTGAAGATTTTTTTTTATGCATCACGAACAAAAATCAATCAAAATCGATTTTTCTCATCAAATTTTAATCGATTATAATCGAAATTAATCAGAATTAATCGAAATTATGTATGAAATTTTGATTCTTTTTTATTATTTTTAATCATATTTTAATCGATTTTAATCTGATTTTACCCCTAATTTTTTTTACACGGGCAGCATTCACCATTTTTTCTGTATCGGTCAGATAGGAGTATAAAATGGTACAATCTAGAAATGGCTCTCGAAATTTAGTTTTCGGAACCATTCTAAGAAAAAACACTTCAGATAATGCATTCTGAAACGTTCTACCAGGGCTCATTTTAGCCGTCAAGATGACGTTGTCCATCCGACACTACACGAAAGTGAAGGGTTGAATTTTGTCGGATTGGTCAATGCGCGTACGCAGATGACCGCAGAACAAATTCTTCACTCGAGAACGTCCGATATGGACTTCTCATAGGTGTCAACAATGGCTATGTGCAATGCCCATGTCTCAACCTGGAGCATTCAACTTTCTGATCTTGAATGCATTCGTGACAGGTAAGTACGGTTATTACTGCATCTTTTCGATCAGGATATATTCACAAATGATGCACAAAATGCACAGTAGACTACTGAAAGCAATGAAAAGGAAGCAAGAAAAAAAAGACTGACTCATCCTCAACTTTTTTTGTTTTTGATGTTGCTTTATTTTTGTCGAAATGTCGAAATTACTAATAACTATTGCGAAACGAAATCTTTTTGACAACTATTATATTTTTAACTAAAATACAAACTAAACAAACAAACAATACAAATTCCAAAGTAAAGATCAAAACTAAATAAGAAAATTCATATCGAAAAACAGAGGATTCTGTTATTATCATGATGGAATTTATTACATTCCATGTAAACTTTTATTCGAGTTTTCATGTCTATATGGTAAATGTATCAATGTAGAGAATTTGCGAAACTTCGGAAAAGACCTACAGTAGATGTTAGAACATGAATATTAAAGAAAAAAGAACTATTGTCTATTATCAATCGGTGAAAATAGTCGCTCTTGAATTGTCATAAATAACGCTGATACAGGAATAATATTCTTGGAGAAAGACAGAGATTTTTAAGTAAATGGGCGTTTTAAATTTGAATCTTAATCGAAGGGTGTGGGGTGTGGGTGGTGTGGGTGTGGGTGTGGGCGGCTGTGAGTGTGAGTGGGTGTATGTGTGGGTGTGGGTGTGGGTGTCGGCTGTGGATGTGGGTGTGTGGGTGTGAGGGTGTGGATGGTGGGTATGAGTGTGGGTGTGGGGTGTGGGTGTGGGGGGGGGGGGGGGGGTGTGGATCTGGGTCTGGGTCTGGGTGTGCGTGTGGGGTGTGGTCTGGGTGTGCGTGTGGGGTGTGGTCTGGGTGTGGGTGTGGATGAGTGTGGGTTCAGAGACAATAAACACATCCTCATATCCACACTAACACCCCACACCCTAGTCCAGAGCTGATAAAGCTTTCTGAATCAAAGTCCTTGAAATATGAAACTAATTTTGTTTTGCTGCCATATTCTTACAGTAATTTTCCAAAATGAGGAGTGATACTCTCAGGTGGCATTCACTTAGTTTTCAAACAGACTACATGCGGCACTTCTAAATCTTTTTTACACTCAGTTAGATTCATCCTAGATATTCTAGCGGACCCTTCAACTTCCTAAATTAAATTTAAAATTGCATTGAAAGCAGTAGCGAACTCTACATATTCCTAAACTTTATGCGATTCGAACTTGAAAGTGAAAATTGTTAAATATGAGCATATATCAATTAAAACTTGAAATTTAAATTAATTAAGTTTTTGTAGTTTTGGAAAAACAAATAGTTTAATTTTTTAACGTTAATATTGACTGAAGTTTAAAGTTTTAATAATATTTTAAAATTTTATTTGACTTATGATCGCAAATGAGAAGTAGCCGAATTGGTACGCTTTTAGCTGAAAAGTTTTATTAGCAAACATAACAAAGTCCCTTAATTTTCCACATAAACACCAAACGTACTTTAGACATACAAAGAAACGCATTTTTAGACACGTTTATGCTTCGAAAACCTGTATATGAATTCAATATTATGACTTGATTATTTTTGTTCAAGATTTAAGTAAAAGAATGTGGGTATTAAAATGCTCAAGTTTATTGCTA